AGTACTATTTAGTGATCCTGAGCTTTTGAAAGGGACTCAGCGAGCTCAGAAGCCCAGGCACCATGGCTACCCTGATTTCATAGCTGATCTGTTTCCAGCCATAATAATCTCTACAGCCTTTCTGCTTTAGCCATGGTAATTTCTGCAGTCTCTGCCACATGCCCTCTTTGCATGTGTTTCCTTTCCTTGTTTGCTTTTCCTTATTGAGAGATTAATATTAGTACTAAAATAAGAAATATGTATTTCAATACCAATGGACACATGGGCAAAAGACTTGCACAAGCCATATTTCTAAAAAATGTTTAAAAGGATGACAAAAAAGTAATCTCAATAAATAAAGGAGTAAAAGTTTGAAAACTTAGTCTCCCCCATCGAAGATTTTTTAAGAAATGACATTATGTCGGTGAGAATCAGATGTTCTCTATATCAAGCCTGAAGGAAAAATTGCATTAAAGATATGTGTACAGAAATCTAAAAATAAAGATGTATATCTGTTACAACAGGAATACTGGAAGTAATATAAAAGCCCCCAAATAAAAGGAAGGCTAAGTAAATTAAGACATCGATAAGATTAACTTTTTTGTAGTCACTAAAATATTAAAATATAGAAGCAGTAACAGAATCTTTTAAAAAGCAAGTATGGTATTTTGCAAGATGCCTCCAATTCTTTTGTAGGGAAAAGGGGAGTAGGCATTCATCCCAGAGACTTAGCACTGAGCTACACCTACAGTTCTTTTGTATTTAAGCTTTTCCTTTTCTTTCTTTTGAGACAGGTCTTGCTAAATTGCTAAATTGCCCAGGTTGGGGAATTGAACTTGGATTCTCCTGTCTCAGCCTCCCAGCATGCTGGGATTACAGGCAAGAGCCACCAAGTCGGACTCAATTCCTTAAATACTGGTACACTTATGTATACACTGAACTGGTGGTAAAGCACTTTGCGTTTTCAATAGTATTTCTTTAAGCACTGCGATAATTATGAGTACGCACTAAGCACAACCTTTAGTACTTTACTAAAGTACAGACTGCATTATACTTATGCATGAAGCCATCTCAGAAGGAATGCCTTTATCCAGTTGTACATCTGAGGAAACGGAGGCCCAACGCAGGTAACACAACAACATCACTGTCAAATGGAAGAGCCAAGATACAAGCTAAGGTCAGCTTGACCTGAACTTCTGTTCACCATAATTGTGGGTGCTCAAAGGTAATTTTCATTTTTCTGCCTCATGCATTTTAGTATGTTCTACAGTATCTAAACTAAATGAACATTGTTTTATAACTAGGAACTAAATCAACAGAATAAATGGTATATTAAAATATACATATTCACAATGAAACAATTCTAAAAGTTTCTGTCTCCAAAGATGTGGGACCATGGCCATGATACTTAGGATAAAGAGCATGAGTACTATTAAAAATTGTAATTCTGATCTTTGAAGACTTTTGTGAGCCACGTCAACTCTGCAAAGTTTATTCGTTTAGGAAGTATTTCTTTAATACCTGCCTTTTGCCAGATATTGCATGAGGGGCTGGCACAGAAGCAGAAACAAGAGTTAAGTCAAGTTTCTGGAAGTTAAGAAAGTGTCTTTGTGGGGAATAAGTGGAGAAAAGAGTAAGTCTTGTCTATTTATAGCAAAGGATTGCTTTATTTTTTAAACTTTTCATAAAGTTTAAAAGATCTACATATCTGAGGATCCAAGACTCTCTACTGGAAATGTTATATAATTTTCAGCCACTATAACAATTTATATTTATACTCTCTAGTAATCAGATGAAATAAAATGCTTTCAACAGCACATGCATTACCCTTACCACTGAGTGCGGAGCGGTTCTTGCACTCGCTTTTCTGGCACCGGAAGTGTTCACTGTACCTCTTCAGGGCTGGACTCTCAGGGTTCTTGGCAGAAATGCGGTTCAGTGAGTTCCCATCTCTCTTAGCTCTACACATTTTCTGGGCCTACCGTGCACTATTCAACAAAAGTTCATGCAGCTCAGCAAATGAGCTTCCAATACAAACTCCATACTCTCTATAGTAGTAAATTAATACATAAATTTTCTCACTCTTTAGTCTGTAAATCAGATTTTTTGTTTTTGAGACAAGGTCTTGCCATGGAGCTCAGACTGGCCTCATACGTGTGATCCTGCCTCAGCCTCCCAGTGCTGGGATTACCGGGGTGCACCAGCACACCCAGCTCTGTCAAAATTTTTATCAATTAAGATGTAGATCATTCACTTCTACTTCGCTGTCATAATAAAACCAAACCATTTTCTTCAAAACTTCTGGCCTCAGTCGTAGGGAAGGCTAAGGAAGGCTATATATTTATTATGCAAAAACTGTAACACGTCCATAGGAATATAGTAGCATTTGACCTTCAACATTGTGAGTGCAAATAAACTAATTCTTTATAGTATAGTCCCTAAAACCTATTTGAAAAGGAAAAGCTGTTCACCTTAGAATGGAACAAGGACAGTAAACTCACAGTTAATTCCCTTCAGTAAGAACTAAAAACTATGTATGTATGTAGTCGAGGAACTGGAGAAAAAGTGCAGAGCTTGGCAAAATGGATGCCTTTTGTTTGTTGTGAATTAAGTAGCTTTCTTAATCTCTCAGACTACAATTTCAAGAGTGAGGATGAGTACCCAAGGCTGTGAGATCAGCTGTCACTGTCAGGGTGATTCATGTCATTTAATAAATTATGCCACTTGATCTTTTCGCAGAAACGCACACTTGTTTTCTAATATCCCAAAACTCTAAACTACTGTCCCATAGTAGGCCTAAGTACAGTCTTTAAGATTATAAAAAAGTGTATATAAATCTACTCTCCTGAGTGTGCTAATTATTGTTTATGTTCCTGCCAAAGGAACAAACAGCTTGATAACAGTAACTTAAGTGGAGATTAAACTTCTCCTTCATTTGAATTAATGAGTACAAATTGCCTTTCAATTGGTGATTAATGTTAAAACGTACATTTCACAGATAACTGCCAAGATTACTAGAAAAGACTTCAAGAACAACTATACTGTACTTAGAAGTGTTTTACAGTTTGCAAAATTATTTAATACATATAGTCTCAGCAACTTTGAACGGGGGGGGGCATTATTCCTCCATTAGAGGAATAGAAATTATTTTTTATTTAGACAATTAAGTGATTTTCAGAAGGGTTCACCCCCGGGACAACCAGCCAGTCTGAACGCCGGAAATGCAGATGAAATTCAGTCTCAGGAGAGTTTTTCTAGGTGGGAGCCAAACTAAGATTTCCCTTCATTTATTGTGACAGCCATCCCATGATGGAAAGAATCTCGCCGTGCAACAATCTTTAAGGGAAGAAGGAAAGAAACAACTATGAAGCTGGCAAAGTTCTCCAGACGGAACTCCAGAACCAGAAAGAGGGGAGCAGGGCGGTGAGTGACCCCGAGCCGAGCCGAGCCGCGCTCCCTCCGAGCCGCCCTGCCGTCCAGGTGCTCGCGTCCCGGCTCCGGCAGGGGGCGGCACGCAGGGCGGGTCCCGGCGCCGGGCGCGGGGCGGGCGGGCATCTTCTCTGGGCAGCGACCTCCGCTGGGTCTCCGGAGCCCCGGGGCTCCCGAGGGCGGCGCGGAGTTCCCGGGACGCCTCTGGCCGGCGGGGAGCATCCCTGGCCCGCTGTGTCCCTCCGCCTTCCTCGATCCACCGACATTTTCCAGGAGACGGGGTGCGGAGAAGAGGGGCAGCGGCGGGCAAGCGTCGGCACCCAGATTCCCGCAGCCCCGGGGGAGCGAGAGGTGCGGGATGTCTAGCAAGGAGGCGGCGATGGAACCCCGAGTCCTTGGATCCCAAAGCCGCCTCATCACCCACGGCGAGGGCGCCGCCGCCGCCCGCCACCCACCGGCTCTGGTGGGCGTTCCTCGCCCTCGCCCTCGCCCTCGTCCTCGGCGGTGCCACCCCCGGCGCCCCGCGCCGGAACTCCCGTCCCGGACGAAGGGGCGGGCGGGAACAGCACGGCCCCTGGCCCGCACACACCCGACCCTGCCACGGGCTCCGGGTGCCCGTTTTCCGCGACGCTTGCCCCTCACACCTTGCCCACCTGGGCAGCGCATTTCCCCAAAGGCACTGCGCGGGCAGCGGGCAGAAATCCCGGCCGGGCGATCTGCCGAGGAGACGCGGATCTCTCGCGGTGCTCCACCAGCCAGACACAAAGACCCCGCCGACCTCGCCCGCGCTGCCCGCCGGTGCGTCCCGAAGGTGCCCGAGTCCGGACGCGCGCGGGTCCCGGCGGGCAGCACGGGCGC